CTAGCCGCTCGCGCTTGCACAGCATTCGCGGTTAGTCCATGCTAAGGCGAGACGTTGGGGGTCCGCGAAGTTTTGCGAATTGAAAGAAAACGCTTGCCTTTATCCTTGAAATTACACCGGAACAAAGACGTTTCTTGGTCAATAGCGTTGCGTCTGAGTGTACTTGGGTCCCAGTAGTGCCAGTAAACTCGTGTAAAGGGAAAAACATTACACTTGAAAATTATTGCACCTATCTTTTAAAATAGGAAATATAGACAATTGCAAGCATGGCGCCCCGACTTCTGTCCCATGCGTGCAAGCACGTGTAGCGTGCGCGTGAACCACGGTGGAAGAAATACGTGAACACAGCTTCGACAAGCTTGTAATTCCACGGGCTTTCCACACGAGCAGAAACATGGCGGCTTCCAGTCGCCTTACTTGCAATGGACCTATTGCTAAATTACCCACGCATCAAAGAGAATGCAGGAGTTGGTGTTTCACGCGCCGCACGTGCTGGCCTCAGCAAGAGAGGCTATGGCAATAGCAACTTTTGTGAAGCCCGGAACAAATTGCATCTTGGACGCGCGTTCGTCAACGCTTTATTTTGGGTATTTACTTCGAATCTTTCATACGGGGAAGGCGTGCGCGTGTGGCGCTTGGAACACCAATCCCTGCATTCTCCTTGATGATTGGGTAATTTAGCAATAGGTCTATCGTTATGGGCAGCACTCTATCCAATTGAAAGATCATTAAGAGGGACTATATTGCAAATAAACTTATTTTTCGCGGGCTCAGTATTTCGCTATTTATGTAAAAACTAAAGTTTTGGACTAATTCGTGGGTTCTAATTTTTGCGACGCGGTGGAATCTCAATATAAATTTCTACGTGCTTACATTTTACCGGAATCGTTCGCGGGACCTTTTTTTCGCGAATTGTAGGCGATTCGCGAAATTTGTGCAAATTAGGTTCTTGTAACACTTAAGTCGTTTAGAGTATTCAGGTTCGAATTTTATGCAATCCTATGACAAGCAAAAGCACAATAGTGCTTTGCCTCAAATGCACAAGATAAAAAAAACCTAAATATTCGCTCTTGCGTTTGTTTGTTTGATTGCAGCATTCCCAAACTTTGAGGTGGTGTGTAGACTATTCGCATCTCCAGCTCGTTGCTCGCCCTTTCGTGGCGGAAATGGGAAGCGCTCTAGTGAGGGTTCCCCGGTTGACATGCACATGCGGACACGGCGTAACTGCTCGCGATCATGGCTCGCGAACAGTCATTTCTGAATGCAAACCGTACCTTTGACTGTCCCAAGGTATTGTTGCAGCCGGTATTTGTGGCGAGATGTTTTGGTGGTGCCCTCTTATGGTTCCCTCTCGTGACGTCAGTACCTTGCGAACAACAAGTTCGATGGTGTTTGTAAATAGCGCAGTGGAAGCTTCAAATCATTGCGCTCTGAAATCAACGCAGCCAAAACAGACCAAATTGAAGTTCTTCCATTCCTCTTATTTCCGTCGAAGAGAAATCCTTTGCAGACGTCATTGACAGCATTCCACGAGTCACCGCAAAATCCGTGGTTCAAATGCCGCGTGCCACGTTTTCTCCTTGAACTCATTGCCTCGCGGCATTCGAAGTACGGATCTCGGGTGACTCGCGTTCGAATCTGTATGCAGGCTGTCTTTTGTACGAGATATGGTCATACCCCGGCTTTACTGTTTCACCAATTTACAACGCCGACGAAGCGTGCTGCAGTGAACAGACGTATAAGTGGTGCGTTATATTGTTACCAACACAGGTACCGATAGCGTAACCAAAGGGTTATCTCAACAGCGGCGGCGATCTCAAAAAAGACGTCAAACCTAGTCGCGCGGTTTCCACATCTGCGCGGCAACATAGACGACGTTTAGAGCTACATTACCGCGATTCGGTTTCATAAATTACCTCCGTCGATGCCAGTGATCGACTACCTTGTCTGATTTTCTCGAATATAGCGGAAGAGAAGAGAAACGTACCAGAGTAAAAACAGAGTCCAAAAGCATTTATTAAAACTCTTTTAATGATCTACTATGTCCCAACCCAAAATGCCCCCCGCGTCGGCAAGGTAAGAAAAGGTCCCTATACTTACCAGGCACGGGGCTCCGGAGAGCCAAGATCGGGGAAGCACTGGAGAAGTCGCCGATACACGTCCCATCTTTTTCGCGGTCACCGGACGAGTCCCTTTTCCGAAAGCGGGAAAACAAGAGGCGAAACCTCTCGCCTGTCAGCAGTAATCCACATCCGAGTGGGGGAACGGAAACAGGTCCCCCCGTGAGAGAGTGAGAGGAGGATTCATAAAGACAGGGGACTCCCTGCTTCACGTACAGGTCGGAGCTCACGGCGAAGGAAGCCGAGCGTTCCGACCCGCGGCCGTTATCGCAGCCATCGGGGAAAGGAGGTCACAGGAATCCCCAATCCCCACAGTGGGTTAGCGTTCCTTCCAACTGGAAAGGCTGATATTTGTAAAACAACGGCGCGTGAATACAAATTCTTTAAAACTTATAATTAATAAACAAAAACAAGAAAACGAAAACAGAGCCCGCTCTTTGACTTTCGGGGCATTTGGCCCGGAAGGATTGGGGGCGAATTTGGAAGTTTCGCCTATTTTCAAAAGACGCGGCTTTGAGAGCACCATATGATTTAACCATAATTAATGTATTTTTACATTATTTTTTTTTTATATTGTAAGTACCACATTTTCATTGGAGAAGAGACAATTGTTTTCATAACATGTCAATTAACAATGACGCAAGTGGCACAAGTAGTGATAATTTGCTAACTTTTCAGTGTCCGGTAATGTAGGCTCACAAAAACATCAAAATCACAAAAATATACCGATTAACCATATTATAGTATTTACAAAAGGGTCGCATTTTGTTTTATTTAATCTTAAGAAAACCTCTGACATTGTAATCCAGATAGCCAAAAAACCGAATGCAATATTATACATACAGTCCTTTTGCGTCGCGTGTTGCCTTAAAAAAGAAAAAAACACAATTGTTTTTGTCTGCCTCGGATTCTGTTTTTCGGGTTTTGTAGTGAGAATATCGTATCTTAATTTATATGCACAGTGAACACGACTCATAACCTGTGGCGATATTGTGTAAAATGTGAATTGATTTTGCTATTTGTTTGCTAGGAATAATGTTAGAGTGATTAATCATCTAAATTCCCAAAAAACCCATTACAAGGGCCGCAGTTCTATATTTCACATGACAATTATCTGAGTGAGAAAAAGCAGTCAAGAGCACACAAAAAGGTGTTAATATCAACCCTAACTTTTTCAACGAATGCAACATCCTATGTTACCTCTAAAGCGTATGAGGGACGCTTTCTCTAGAAGCGATACTAAGCGTGCAAAAAATATTTTGAAATTACTGGATCGGACACGTATATCACAAAATACATTTTTCGCGAACAATTTATATAGCTCAATCATTACGCTTTGAGAAACCTCTTGAGTTATGAGTTATACCCACAGTATCATACATCACGATAAATTAACTCGAAAATAGAAGTCAGTTTTTTTTGTTTGTTTTAAAATACTACCCGCTTTGAGGCCGAAGCAGTAAAGTAACCAGAAAGTATAACAGCACCTTCAAGCTCTTAAATCACACAGAGTGGCATAGCATCTCACATACAATACGAAATAATCTATAAAATCAGGGACATTCGCATTATTTACAACGTTCGTTGGCACGCAGTTCCAGTGATCAATAAATTTAACAAAGAAAGAGTTCTTAAAATAGACAGTGTTGAAGCGATAAGGGTTAACATACTTGGTGTATTGGTTTCTAGTCAAACAATCAGGGTTTTCGTAGGTTGTATATTTGTGAATATTCAGAATATAATGACCAGTTGAAAAATAATTTCTTCCGGCTAAACAAAATTTTAATCCTAATAGGAAGGGGTATGTAACGTGTTTCCATTGGAAGACGGACTATGTAAATATGTAGTGACTAAAAATGAAACGCAATGCTTTACTTTGGATGATTTCGAGTTTATGGATGTTTTTATTTCTTCTTTTTGTGTGTGAATGGCTTTTAGACTGGGCTTGTATATTCGAGCGTTGGTAAGATTAGCGATTTATATGCAGTTATATCTGAAGTAGTGAATGCAAATTTTCGTCCGAGTGTCCACATTCTATGTAATGCTTTATTGCAAACATTTTCTACGTGTGAAGTCTAGTTTAAGTTTGATTTTAAAGGGACTCCCAAATATCTGAATCCCTGGACAATTTATAATCTAATTGATATGTGCTGGTGTTGTTTTTCGCTTTACTTTTATGTAATTAGTTTTGTTTTTCTTGATTTGAATTTGCCAATCGTTGCATAAGCTGGTCAATTTATGTAAATGCTCATTTAATTTATTCTGAACATCGGATGTTCGTATTTTTGTACATGTAACTACATCGTCGGCAAAATGTTTAAGGTTGACTTAAGTTTCAACTCCCCGGCTCATGTCGCTGATGTACAAAATGAACAGTAGTGGCAATAAGATTGATCCTTGAGGTGCTCCTGGCATTACTGATAGGTCATCTGACGTTACATTATTTAATTCGACAAACTATCCTCTGCCAACAAGATAAGTTTCAAGCGATGTTAAAATTTGATCAATCTCCAGTATGTACTGCAGTGTATAAAGCAGTGTTGGATGTGACACACGTTGCCACACCCAAAACTGCTTCTTTTTTTAATCACAACGTGCTTCATGGCGTAAATATAGCGCTAACACCTATTTTTAGTATAAAGCGATTATTTGCGTGTGTAGAATCCCAGGCTCCTCGTACAATCGGGAATAATTTGTGTCGCTCAGTGCAACGAGCACACCAGACACGCTCAGCAGATGGCATACTATCTCCGAACCTCACTATATCTGCCATAAACAAAAGAAAGACAAAAAAAAAAACAAAAAAACGACTGGCGCTATCTATAAACAGTCGGAGTCGCGAATAGTACCACTACGACAATCAAAACCAAGGGGCTCCAATATCTTTTTGTGTGTACTTTTATTATTTTTCCGCATTTCATTCATTAGGAAAGTTACAACTCTGGCCTTTACATGGATACAGCCGGTGCAACCGAAAATCGCCTCTGGTTTCAATCATCCCCTGGCAACGGGCCTGGCTGTGTCCGGTCCTCCGTAGGATGACAACTCGCTCCATACGGGCCAGCTGACAAAAGCCTCGGAAGCCAGGTAGTCCCGGAACGCCGGGAGCGACTCGATCCTGCGCAGGTAGTCCAGAAGCTTGGGCTGATCCCGGAGGCTGCACTCCTTGGGCCACAGCACCCGGTGTTGATCGAGTGCCTCGAAGGCCAAAAAGTCCACGTAGCTCGGAGCGTCCCCGGTCAAGAAGAGACGCTCTCCCAGGAACCGAGTCAACGCCGGAAGCCGGTCGCCTAGAAGCTGTTGTAGAAAAGCGTCTCGCTTACTCACGCTGTAGTCCGGGTCATAACAGAGGCGGATGTTTTCCCACATAAGATCGTTGAGCTGCTGCTCTGCAAGGTCGGCCAAGATTCGCTCGCGCTCTTGGGTCGGAAAAAGACCCGAGTGACGGGCCAGGTACCGCAGAATCGCCAGACTCTGAGTGACCTTTATCTCACCATCCACGAGGTAGGGTAGGTTGGGGAAGTCCAGTCCTAGCCGCGGCTTGTCGGCCAGCCATTCGCTCCGCCTGTTTTCCTGACCTCGAGCTCCGAACGGGTACGTCTTCTCGGTGTAACGAATGCCCGCGTAGTTCAATAGATGGCGGATGCTGTTGCCCAATCCGCGGATTGCCCAATATCCAAGCAGCACCGGTTGGTCTTGGGATTTCTTCGAGGGGCCTCCGGACGTGCGACGTTCTTCCATCTTGAAGGGCGTTGCTGGCGGAACGGCGGGCTCTCCGATACTCTGATCGTTTCGAACAATTTACTCTCCGGCGTCGTGCGCGTGATAAGCGCCTCAGGGAACTCTATTGTGCTGCGGATGGATGCTCGGCGGTCCGCTCACGGTACACCTGTGTTGACAGAGCCGAGGTCGATGCCCTATCGTTGAGGGCGTCAGCACAGAAACGTCAAAGCCGCAGTAAAAACAGCAAAACAGGGATATAATAAAATGAAAACCAGCTGTGCGTGAGGAGTTCCTGGTAGCAACTAATGAAGCGGGGTCGTTCACATCCTACACGGCTCTCCAATACGACGACACACCTCCTAGCGGCACAATATTAAAGCATTTACAGCGTGTGGCATGTTCCGCGTGAAGCAAACTACAAAAAGAAGTAAACGTTTAGTAGTAAAGAGAGATACAATATTAATTGTAGATACGGCTCTAAATAAAATGATGAGCTGAGATTTTGTTGCTCTAACTTTATCGGAATGAGAGCTTTCAATCAGCAACTATGTAGCCCTCAGGCAACGTGGCAGCCAGCTGACGTCAAGGTGGCGATATCCGAGGAGTGGGTTCCTATCTCTTGCAAACATTGGAGAGAGGGGTGAAAGTGCGTCACCCGAAAGACAATCGGATGTCGTAGATGGGAAGGATATACAGCTCCCCGAATAAATAGGCAGTCTCTCAACGCCATCATCTGGCAGGAAAATGGCGCTCGCATAAGCTAATTTTATATGCAGAGGAAGTAACGAAAAGGAAAGTGGAGGACGAGCACCATCAAAAAGAACGACAGAAAATATTCACAGCTCCTTCCCTGAATACTTGGTGTGATGTCGCGCCGAGTTTTTTTTTAGTTGAAACCGGATGGATGCTGACAATCGTCGATATAATGCTGCGACATACGTTAAGAACGGCCATAGTGAAAGGGCTGGGAGGATAGGTGGAAGGAGAATAAGCAAAGATATGCCAATTTATCCTCCCAATCCCTCCACGCACAATCATTAACTTTTTTCTTATTTTGCTTTCTTGCACTTTTCCACCGTTGCGATTGTTCCATGATACAAGATAGCAGTTGGCATTGCCATTCTTTGTTTCAACTTAAATCACAGCAGTCAGCGGCTACAGGATACGTTAGCGCATGCACAGAGTCCGAAAGCGCATTGGCACAACACACTTTCTGCTTTCAAATGAATTAGAGAGGAAGAGCGAATTTCAAGAAAGATGACTAAATCCATGACGTCGGGTTGATTGATACCATCAGCCCGGCATCGGCTGTACGAAGCGCCTTTTCACTTTCGGTAATCCACGTTTTGACATGTTGATGAACAGCCACGTGCGTCAATTTCGCAACTTGTTTGCATGCAGACGTTTTCGTTTTTGGTGAAATGCAGAAGCATGGCGAGATAGCTCGGTTGACGAAATAACTTAATAAGTTCGACCAGAGATATTTTTGGGCCCGCATAAACTCATGTATACAGCTTTTGCTTTTTTTTCGATGTTGTTCCGGTGGTATTCATTCGGGTCTGAATTTCGTCACCACAAAAGCGAGACCGAGATTTATTTTTATCTCTCACCCAGCGAGCTAAGACAGTTTTTACATGGTGCGTCTGCTAATAAAAGCGATGAACGGGGCTCTGTTCGAAGTGACATTTACAGACGAAAATGGAACAGAAACACCGTCAGCCGCCTGCTAACAAACCAAAAAAAGTGGATCGTCTGCTACGAACTGTGAGTACCTCAGGGAAGTGATATCAGACTCAAGCCTGTTTTACGTGCAGCGACTCTTGCGAAAAAAATCGGTGCGACAGCCGACGCAGCGAGTGCGATCGCAATGTTTGGTTTCACATGCTCCAACAACCACGCGATTTTTGTCGGTGCGGCCACCTGTTCGGACAGGGACGCGACGCGTTTGACTTTGCCTAAAATACAGCAAAAACGTCTTAATAAACCCAAATGTTTTACGAATACAATATGTAAGTAGAATGTTTTAATAATTAAGCCTTAAACCAAACGTTTTAAGGTGTCTGAATTTATTTTCGAATACACAACTATCGCGGATGAAAGCTGGAAAGTGAACGGCTGGTTGACGATGATGTGATCGCACCGACTCTGCGACAAAATATCAACTTGGCGGGAACCAGCCGCAGAGCCGCTGTGACAGTGCGACTGCGATTTAAATCGCACATTTACTGGAAATCGCACTTATTTTGGACGAAAATCGCAGCATGTGAAACAGCCTTCAGACCGAAGTTGCGATCGCCAGTTTTATCGCAGTAAATAGGACGGACAACCTGTGATTACTTTGTCAATATGAAGTTGCTCAACTGCAGTACACAAGCTGAAACTGAACAGTGGATAAAGGAACACTCGAGCGCGATTGCGGATTTGCCGCCATAAAAACTTTGTATTATTGTTCGATAGCGTTGGGCTATAATCTGTTTACCCCATAGCTGAAACTGAGGCGGAAGCTACGTCCTCGTTGAACCAGTCGCAGGCCCCCCTTTTGCTACGAGATAGTGCTCCCGCCAATACCCACGCGCAGAGATTCGGGTCAGGTGCTGAAAGGGAGGCGGCTGATTGGTCAAGCGAGCACGTAGCTTGCACCGCAGTCCCCCCTTAGGAGTGAAAGGAGTATAGCAGCGAGTTGTGGCGCCACGTGCAATCATTAACCGAGAAAAATTTATATTTAAGTGCGAAATCAAATAGTGCACAAGTAACAAGGACAGCAGAGTAAGTACAGGACTATCTTGTCGTTGTCACGTTTGCGATATTTTATTTTGTACCTAATGCAATAAGTAGCCCAGATTCATACTTTACTTGTGAAACATCTTCTTCTCACTTAGCCATGACCGAAACCGGACATCTATGGCCAGAGGCAGTGGCCAAGGCTGTCAATGTCTTCCAATTCGCATTCTTTTTGATATCGTACAAATATGTAGACACAAGATATGTATAAATTCCATGTGGAAATATTCTAGCCATCTGTACACTTAGTAGTGACAGTACGCAACTGAAGCTTCAGTGGGGTACTCACAACCTGAAGTATTTGGCCGGCGGAATTCGGGAGGAGGTAAATTTCGAATAGGGGCTAGAGCGTGGGCTAGAGTGGCGCCTACACTTTGAAAGTAAGCGCCTCAACCCTGTCCATGCAGTACGAAGAAAACAAACGTGTGCCTTCTTGTCTAAAAAATAAACCACCCCGACACAAAAAAGTGCACATGCGGTTGAATTCAATGAACAACATGTTCTTATAAACGGTGATATGCGTATCTGCATCGATTGTTTCGATGACAGCTGCCGCTGTCATCGAAACAATCGATGCAGATACGATTCAGAGCGCCGTCTAGTCTAAGGTTGGGTGAACGAAGGGCAGAAGGCACAGTGTCAAGAGATAGACGCATGTCTTTGTCACCGGCAGCTCGAAAATACGCGACGAACTAAAGCAGCATATTGTAGCCACTGCCCTCGCAGAAGGGAGGAATTTTTAGCCTGCTATATTTGCAAAACCAAGGAAAACTAGACGTCCGCCTCAAACATCAAACAGCAAGGCGCTGCGGTTGAATGTGACCGCGGCGACGCAATCGCGCCAGTCGGTGTTTCCTATGCAGCCGCGGAAGGATGAAAAAAAAAAAGAAAAAGAAAAGAGAAATGAAGAAGGGTGAAAGGCGCGTGCACTGAATACTGAACTCAAATGAACCACTGATCCATAACTCAGCTAACTTGACGGCGGAGGCGCAGAATGTTGACAGAGAAAGAATAAAGGAAGATGAGAGGAAACTGTTTGCTTTTGGTAGAAACTTAGTTTCGTTCCAACTGTTTATTGCTGCGTTTGTCCCTTTCTTCAAAAGAGTAACACATTTCTACTTTCTAACTATGAGCGACAGAGGAACGAGGCTGCGCAGTAACGAAAATTGTAAACGTAGAAAGGAAAATATGAAGAAAAAGGTTGGATTATTTTCTTTTAGTATAGCAGGAATAGGGCCGAACGTCTGCTGGTTCTTTCGTCAATCTTTTGTTTGGATGGGTTCGTCTAAGCATTTACCTCGTCCAACATTGCCCCCCCCCCCCCCCCAAACCTACAAAAGGTTTTTTTTTAGGGGGGGGGGGGGGGGCGTTTTTTCAAATTTTAATGTACCCTATTTTTATACCAATAATTTATTTGAGGCCTTGGAAGTGTTGTAAATATTGAATATCTGTAAGTTAGAAAGCTTCAACAATTCACATTTTTTCAACAGGTACAGTTCTCAGGCTATATAACTATTTTATCGCCACAAAATATTGGAAATGTACAAGGGTAGTGAGGGAATCGAACGCTTGTAATGTTCGTGTTTCATAAAGCAATCTTTGAACGAAACAGTTAGCAGTTGTATTAACTATCACAAAGTCTCGCGTCCTTCTCCTTCAAGCCTCCTCTTTCAGCCACGAAGTTACATGCTTGCAGAGCAGCCTCAAATGCACGCTCAAAGAAAAGTAACGTACATCAGAGATCACGCCCCCTTTGTGTTCAAAGCATGGAAATGAGATATTGCTGGTTTACAGCGCATGATATATGGCGCCCGTCGGTCACCTGCATTCTTCGAAAATAAGTGATCAGCAGGTTTGAATAGCCGGGGAAAGTGAATGTTCGGAAGCACGAGCACCTTTCTACTTTTGAAATTTGTCAGGGCAGCCTCTGGTGAGTTACTTTTCGTTATAATGAATGCTGCCAAGCAAGAGTCACAGCTGATGGTCTCTGTCATTTTTTTTTTTTTTTGCTGAGAATTTCAGTTAAGTAATATCGTAATCTAAAACCTCCGGAACCGATGAAGTCAGCCCAGAGGTAACACCTTAACATTCCCAGGCGTCTTGCAGAATGAATGAATCCACCCTTTTTTTCCCCACTCACTCATGAAATAAATGAGTTCGTGCTCGCTACCTGAGCAAAGAAGGCTCTTGAAATTAGAGATGTCCTAAATTGGCTTCTCTCCTTCAACTACTGCACAGTTTCCAAATAGTGGAGGCTCTAAGAGACTAGAGTGGCAATGTCTTGTACAGCTGCAGAAACGAAGGCATTTTTGGACGGTCGTTTTGACAGATGGCTTGTTGTATTTCCCCAAAGAAACGTTCAACTGGGTCCTGGTTAAACTTTCCGGTAAAGACGTACTTAAAGTTGTAGGACGTTGTCAACAAAATACGCATATCTTTTGTGGACTGGAGCGTGCCCCTAGACCTTCACCTGTCCTTTACAAAAATATGTATGGACACTCCGAGGACGCTCTATAAAGCAGCGTCCTTAGGAAAAACCTAAGGCATCTATAGCAGACCACGACTACTGTTGTCTTCCTGAAGTCATCC